TTACATGCCAGGTTCTTTTCTCAATATAAGAGCTGTGACTCGACAGAAAGATAAGAATACACAAACATAGAAACATAAGCGACAGATCATCCAAGGTACTTGAATCTTTATCAGCCAAGCAGAAAGTGTTCAGCCTTTGAATACCACTCCAGCTCCAAACAACAGAGAGTCTATTTCTGCATCCTGGTGGTATATGTTACAATAGCTTTGCTCTTAAACAAAGAGCACATAGACACAAATGTGCCGAAGCAAGACGAAATACTAAGGACGGGCGAGAGGTGCTTGAGGTGGAAATGAAAAAGCGCTGCTTGAAAAGCACTGACTTCTTTCCAGCTGCATAAGACGTCTGTAATAACCTCCTCTCATCCTTCAGGGAAGGATAGAAGAAAACATTCTGTGAATGAAGAAGGCATTGTTAATGGCAAGCAAGGGTTAAAATGCACACAGATTTCAAACACAGAGATTTCAAAAAGGGCAAATGAAATCTTGTGCACGTCTTCCCCAAATTTCATGACCAAGCAGTTGTAGAGCCGTACCCTGTTCGCAAAGTTTAAAATCTTTGTTTTGGTGAAACGATTATGTGTTAGGCAAGGTGGCCCGGGACGCATTAGGACACATTACACTACAAATGCGATCACATGCATTTCTGGTTATCAGATCCCAACACTTTTTGGGATTTGTTTACTCTCGCCCCACATCTTAATATGCCAACTTCTCTACTGCCAAAACTACCCATGAAACCATAGAGAAAAGCTGTTGTATTGGTAAATAGTTGGGAACAGTGACGAGACAGATTTCATGGGTCACAATGCAAAACTGGCGGATGTGACGTATCCAGATAAAATCCCACAAGGCTGATGTTAAAACCAGGTGTAACCAGGGCTTCAGTTGATTTCCTTCAGTTTTAATGTTCATTTACTTTATTGTAAGCTACCAGAAGTTTGTAGTTGGTAAGATTTTTTTAAGCAATAATTACTTTTCCTTAGAAAGGTTGCATTAAATTGATTAGGTGACAGAAAAGACTCCTTTAGAAGATTTAACATGTGATATCTATTAAAAAAAAAAAATTAATAAACGATTTCTGAAGGATCAGGTAACCATGAAGACTGGAGTAATAGCTGTTGAAAATTCACCTTTGCCATTACAAACATATCAAAATTGTTACAACAAATCATAACTGTATACAATGTTTCATTGTCCTGTACCCACACTGATGAAGTGGATTTTTCTGAGATGATTACTGCATTGATACTTTAACTTGTGCCTCAGCATGTATAAGCAGTGATTTCATTCACATTATATTCAGAATGTGTAAAATTACAGGAAATCCTGCTTTCCTTGTGTCCAAAATTCAGCTCTGTTTTTACCTCAACGAAAACAACCAAGCTTGTGTTTTCCCCGCGAGAGCCAAGACCAATTAGCCAAGGCTGATGTTAAAACCAGGTGTAACCAGGGCTTCAGTTGATTTCCTTCAGTTTTAATGTTCATTTACTTTATTGTAAGCTACCAGAAGTTTGTAGTTGGTAAGATTTTTTTAAGCAATAATTATGTTTCCTTAGAAAGGAATAAATAATATTTGAATATATATTAAAATAGAAAACATTTATTTTAAATTGTACTAATATTAAACAATATTACCATTTATCTGTATTTTTTTATAGAAAAATGCAAACTTAGTGAACATGAAAAAAAACAAAAATTACTGACCCCAAACCTTTCAACTGTTGTGTAAATAAATAAATCAACCATGCAACTAAGAGTCTAGAACAGAAATTAGAAGCAGGTTGGGCAAATAACTTTCCCAGTCACACTTGACACTAACATACACATGGTGTCATGAGACTGGGTGTGATTGTACTTAAAGCAACTCATCACTTGTTTTCTATACACAAAGACGCATGCCACTACCTTAAACGAACATTACAGATGTAACTGCCATCATGTTCCACCCTCTCCCGTTTTTAAAACCACAGCCAAGATGTTTGGACTCAATTGGAGCCAGGGCTAAATCCTTAGCTTTGTGCTTCTGTGTTTAATCTCATAAAGGAGGGAGCTCAGAGGGTCGGACCCCCTCTGCTGAGCTCATGGTGGGGGGTTTGTAGGGTTCCAGGGCGCTACACTTCACATCTGACAGCAGGGGACTTTGGCTCTGTGGGACAGTGAGAACAATGGCAGTAGAATCCTGGCCAAAACTGGAGTGAGTTCAGCCTGTAGTGCATGAGGACCTTGCCATGGCCTACTTATATGCCAAGTTTGCGTCACGCATGAGGGCTGCTGTTTATATGTAGACTATGAACTGTCACAGTAATCTCTTACAATCATTGTCACGGTCCATCAAGACACTGCTAACAACTGAGCTTGTTTCTATTAGGCTGAAGGGTGAGATGTAGATGCACAATCTCTTTAAAGCTTCTATTTGTTTTCATATGGCTGTTCTTCACGGTTTTTGTTCTTTTATTTTCAATGTTACACATCGCTCTGTCCCGCTATCGTCTCCAACACTTCCCCTCTTCCTACTCAGGCATCCAGCTGAATCACCACCGAGCAGGCCGGAACGGTTTGCTATCATCACCTGAGGAAACACACCACATCCTGTGAGACTGTCGGCTGCCCAAACAGCCCCAAGGAGACCGTTAGAGCTCTATATCTGCCACAGCCCACAAAACAAACAAATACAGCACAGTAACGGCACTGCACTCAAATACACTAAAGGCTGATACCAACAACCAATGCAAGATCTGTTTTGGATTTTCAGTAGTGGTTGACTGATATGAGTTGTTCATATGAGCAGCTGTAGGGTAGACCGGAGACAACTGTGACATTTTTTACATTTACCTTCAGAACTTACACTACCCTACACATAATAAAAATATCTTATTATGTGTTCTGATGATGAACGAAGGTCTTACGGGTTTGGAACGGCATGAGGCTGGGCAATTAATGACTTAATGTTCATTTTTGGGTGAACTATCCCTTTAATTCTGTTCTTTTGAACTTTCTATTCATCAAATAATCCTGAAAAAAATGTATCACTGAGAGAAAAATATTAAGCAGCACAACTGTTTTCAACATTGATAATAAGAAGAAATGTTTATTGAGCACCAAAACGATTTCTGAAGGATCATGTGACACTGAAGACTTTGCCAACAAAATACATTTGAAATTATATTAAAATAGAAAACATTAAAATATATATTTTAAGTTCTAATAATATTTCACAATATATTACAGTTTTTACTGTATTTTTAATCAAATATAAAAACATTAAAATCATAATTAATTAAATATTATAATCTTACTGACTCCAAACTTTTGAATGGAAGTACAGACTACTACCTAGCATCTTTTAATATAAGAAATTTGAAACTTTTTGAATATACTAACTGGACATGCTGACGAATGGAATAGTCTCAAAATGGAAATAACTGGCTGATATAACAGTCCATAACTAATCTGAGTCATAATAGTGAGAGTCTGGTTTTTGTAAAAAAATCCAGCTATGAATAAGAAAATAGGGAAAGCTATTGGAGCAGGGAGAGAACCCTTCACAAGGACGCCTAACCATTGAGAATCAGGAATCTCATGCTGAGAGGGGGACACTGTGAGCCCCAACTTCCCTTTCTGTTCCCCCTCCTGCTGTTAGGGCAGAGCAATACCTTTATATGCAACCATACAAACAGACAGAAACAAACACCAAGTTGTACTGTACCACCAACAATTTCTACATTGCTGGTAACAAAAGCCTTGTAGAAATATCCACATAAGGTGTACTCGGAAATCTGGGATCAATAGTCTAAACTAATGCAAACTTTAGAGAAAACCTCATGGGGTAAACAAATCAAACTAACCTTTTTGTACAGACCTCCCCCCATTGTGTCATCTGTAAGACCCCTTGTCTGCACAGTGACCCACTTACTGGCCATGTGCAATTCCCCCAGCTATTTGCATATGAAACAAACCCATCATTCATTTTCAAAGAAAGAGAGAGAGAGACCAGCTAACCACCCCATCAGAGCCTCATTAGATTAGTGATGGCCTGCCACTGCAATTAAGCAGCACTAAACTTCATTTAGTGCTTCACCCTTCAGTGTTGCTCCACATGGGGCCTTCCTATCAACACTAAAACTATTAAAAAAAAGAGGCGCACGGTAACACTCGTTGAGCCTGATGGCTTAGTCGCTCGCTAAAATATCCAGAAAGCCAATGTCCATAATCGGTCTCTCTGTCCACTTCTCAAAGATCCAAGGATAAAACCAACCACTATTCTCCCAACATGCAGCTATTTCGAAAATAAGCACAGTGAGTTCTGCAGCAGGTTTATTGGGGCACCAGACCAAGATTGAACACTTCAAAATACATCTAAACTGAGACAACAATGGCCTCCTCTGGACAGGAAGTTCCTTTGTTGCAAAAAGGAAGTGAGCTAAGAGGCAGGCTAAAGGAGTTCCACCCACCTGTGGACACCAATCTGTCCTGAGACTACCTCTTTCCCTCATTCTCTTCCCGTTTGTTCTATTCTGTAACTCAATACGTCTTTCATGCTGCTCTTACTGTATGCGTCTCTTCAGTATTTGGGGATTTTGTCATCTGTTTTGCCCTCATCTGAATAAAATCATCATGATCAACTACTGCAATTCACTAGGAAATCACTTTTTATGAAAACTGCTGACAAGGCTGAAGGTGAAAGAAGTTCCATACTTTTTCAAAACAAAACAAGTCAAAACGTGAAATCATAATTTAACTATTTTGAGATGACATTTATGTTTAACTGAATGTATCATTTGAAAAATAGCATGCTAACTCTGCATAAAAACACTTTAAACATCATATTTCCTTTGTTACATGGCACTTTCAGTGAGGACGGGAAATGATAGGGAGATAGAGAGGGAATGGGTTCAGGAAATGTTTACATGGTTCCTAACATCACACAGACCTCTGCTGCCGCTAATTTATTTGTGAATTGTTTTGGTTAAAAACGTAGAAAGGCAGATATAAATCACCTGTTTAGCTTCCTCCACAGCCTTCTGCAGCTTACGGATCTCCTTTTCATATTGCTCCCTAAGTTTATCCACCTCCTGATCGTGAGTTGCTACCTCCTCTTTCAGAGCTCCTTTAAGAGCGGTCAGCTCCCTCTCACGCCTCCTCAGCAGCTCTTCCTGCTCCTCTTTGGCTAGAAGCAGCTCCTGGAGGTCTAGCTTCAGTTGCATAAAGTCCTAGAGAGGACAGTACAATGTTAGAGTTGCTGCCATCAGTTTCAAGTCTTAATTAGTTTGAATATGCAAATGCTGGATCTGTTATTCTATAGATTACTGATGTATAAAATTTGCATGGGAAATATTCAGCTTTCCATTAAATTTTATGCGCCTAAGTTACACTATTGTTCAAAAGTTTGGGATCAGTATGATTTTGAAAGAAATCTGTTATTCTTACCAATGGTGCATTTATTAGATCAAAAATACAGTAAATAAAAATATTTGTACAAATTAATATACTGGTTTTATATTTAAACAATTTATTCCTGTGATGGTAAAGCTGAATTTTCAGCAGTCATCATTACTCCAGTCTTCAGTGTCACATGATCCTTCAGAAATCCTTCTAATGATTTGGTCATTTCAAGAAACATTTCTAATCATTATCAATGTTCAAAACAGTTGTGCTGCTTAATATTTTTGTGAAAACGGATAAAAAATTTTTTTTCAGGATTCTCTGATAAATTGAAAATTCAAAAGCAGAGCATTTATTTGAACTATAAATCTTTTGTAACATTATAAAGGTCTTTACTGTCACTTCTGTTCAATTTAATATGCCCTTGCTGAATAAAAGTATTAATACTGTACCTCCATCATGGCCTCTTTGTCTGTGCTGTCTGTTTGAGATTGTTTGGCTCCATCCAGCTCATCGTGCATCTCTGAGAGCTGGTCTTGCAGGTCTCGGATCTCAGTCTGGTACTGCTCTTTCTCCATTTTCACCTGGTAGAGTCTGACATACACACAAATACACTCAGAATACCTGCCTTCTGAAGAGACAGACATGCCTGGTAATCTGCTAAGCTCATGGCCATATAAACCCCTGCCAATTCAAACCGTGGTGTCTCAGAGGATAATTGACACTTTATTTTGACAACCTTAGATAGAGGCGGGATGGAGAAATCCCAGAAACTTGCATATCTGAGGGTAGTGTAGATTTTCACAGCGTTAGGAGGTTTCACATCAGGGCCAACACCTGTAAGTTTTACTTTTGCTCCAAAGTTCACAGAGAACACAGACAGCTCATAAGCATAAGCAAGGCCAGGCAGACACGAACCAGCATCTTCTGCATTGAATTCGGGGGCAAATTCTGCAGAATGGATTTAAATATAGTAAAATGTGCAAGCTAAAAGAGCTTTTAACTGAATTTTGTCAATTACAGGTGTTCCAATTTTGCTGAATTTTCTACATGCACAGATTCTGGGTGGGTCTTCTGTGCGAGACAGCATCTTACTCCTCCACTGTAGTGCGCAGGTCAGCCTCTGTTTTACTAAGCTTGTCCCGCAGTCTGCTGCACTCGGCTTGACTCTGGTCCAGCTCTCTCCTCAAGTCTTTCACTCCCGCTCCCACCTTCAGCTGAGTCTCATTCAGATCACTGCGCTTCTGCAGGGAGAGACATAATAAGAAATGACAGCAAGGACAGGAAATGACAGTAACCTTACTGAACCTTAAAAATCATTGACTGTTTGACACACTACTAAGACATATTTTTTGGATTTAAGGCCTAGTCTTTATAAGCAGCCAGTAATTGTTTAATTTGATTATTGATCTTAAGGAGCGATATGGGAGGGATTTTCAGTCAACATGGAAGCTTCTAACAGACTGACTAAACAGACAGAGCAGGGGTCCAAGGTACAGTTGATGAGTTAAGGGAGTAGAGGTATTAGTGGAGAGAGAGAGAGTTTCGCTGTTACCTTGCTTTCATCCTCAAGCTGTTTCTTAAGATCAGCGATTTCTTTTTCCAGTTCTGCTTTCTGCTCCTGAAGGGCTCTAGCCTGGGCTGCAAGGTCTGGAGACTGAAAGAGAAACATCTTTATGTAACAGAGCTCTTTTCAGGTGCTATATTACAGCGATTTGATACAGATTCACATCCAAACAGAGCACAAACAGCAAGTTCTCAAGAAAAATCAGTTTTAATCAGAAATATTTCAAACGATAGGAATTTGTAATGCTCATTCACAGTAAACTGGTCTTTGCATATACAAGATTTCATGATTTCGTAGGTGTGAGTGTTAAAAACAAAAATATATAATATTTTAAAATAAAATCAGTAAAAAAGACTGGTCTGATTTTGCCTGCATATGTTTAAACATTAGCCATGCCTATGCTGTTTGCTGAGTAAATAACCTCAACCTGCCTTTATACTTTCTCCAAGAGATAGACTAAGTCTCTCTTATAAGAGGCTCACAGTCTTAGCTGTTTGTTGAACCCAATTACAATGCCACAACAACGGCTCACTTTGTTGTCGCCTTGCACGTTCCCAGCGGCCCGTGACTTCAAGGTCTGGATTTTTTCGAACACCAGGTTGACCTTTCTCTTGGTAGTGTCATCGTTATCATTGTTCCTGCAAAACATGACACAAGTGCTCAAAATTCATTCAGACGGTTTGAGAGTCCTTTTCTCTGAGCCAAAGTGTGTGTAGATAATGTTAGTGTGTGTGTGTGTATGTGAGTGACTGGATCAGAGTATAATCCCTGATATGTCTGGGAAAAATCAGCCTGGCTCTTTGCCTGCGTGGAGAGTACAGAGTACTCAGGCTTTTGATGCGTCACCTTATGACCTGACCACCCTAATTACTGCCTTCTTTTAACAAGTCACATGTCTAGGAATGAGTGTCTGAACAGGGATGTGGATACCCACATGTTCACAGGGCACTCGAGTGATGCATCAGGGAAAAGCACAGAACATTGGGTTACTGCCATGCATATACAGTACAGACTAAAGTGTATCATTACATTTAGCAAAGAGAGAGGAGAAGCCAGCAGACCAGCACCGCCTCTCCTTCAAACACACACACCTCCCACAGAGCGGACTGGAATTAACGGTTTCATAACGTAAGCTGCTGTCGCCAACAGACGCGTCATGTCACAACACTGCTGACTATATTTTTTTGCTCTATTACAACTATCACGACCCTTAACCTGATGTATCTATGGTACGCGCCACTGAATGGTAACTAACTACTACCTCAGGACAAGTTTTGCCTGCAGAGCTGGTTAATAAAAGTTGCCATTGACCAGAAGATATATGATTCTAGATATGCAAGGCTTCAGGGGGTTGACTGGTGTATAATCCGCTCTGCTCACCTCCCTCCATGCAGCACATAAGGAATGCAGAGGGGGCAGAACATTTGACATCAAGAATATGGAGTTCAGGGAGGGCACGGGTTCAGCTATTCGCTAGAGCAGGGGTTCTCAACTCTGGCCCTCGAGGTCCACTTTCCTGCAGATTTAAGCTCCACCCTTGATAAACCTCGCCAGCCTGTAACTTTCTAGTAATCCTGAAGACCTTGATTAGCTTGTTCAGGTGTGTTTGATTAGGGTTGGAGCTAAACTCTGCAGAAAGGTGGACCTCGAGGGCCAGAGTTGAGAAGCCCTGCTCTAGAGCAGGTTGGGCTGTCGGGCACCTACAGCATGCATTTGAAGCTGTGCAGTGATCATGCAGGATTAGGTGAGAGCAGGAAACAGAGCTGTTTTGGGTGGAAATGTAGTCCTAGTAAAATAACAGATTTGAGTTGTTGGCAGTGAGCTAAAACCATTTTTATTAGGCAAACAACGGTCTGGAACATCTAACAAGCAGCTATTTTGAATGTTTATCATAATAAATATGACTTGCCATTTTGATGTAAGATATTAGAAGAGGAACATTAAGAACCTGTTCTTTCATTGAAATGGTGAGACAGAAGTGTGGGAGTTATGAGTGGATGATTCTACTGGACACAAATGAAGAAGAAATGTAGGGGAGGTCAAATTCTTGTACTGTTATCATTGTGTCAGACTATGTGGAAACTACCTTAAATTCCAAGAAAAATCTCACTTCTCAGAAAAAAAGTGAACACTATTGAGTAGGAAACAACCATAGACCAATAAGAACACAATTGTCACATTTAGAATGTCAAAAACTTTAGTGTGATTGAGATTAAAGTTGTGTGGTGGAACCAACATGCAGCAGAAAAAAAATAGTAGAGGAAATTATACCATATATTATACCAATTATACCCTGCAGACCTTCATGGCTGTTTGTTAAGGCCAATAATAATAAAAATGTCAAAAAATAAATGTCAATAAACCAATAAAATGACAATACTCAAATACTTTTTGACTGGTAAAAATATTTTTGAAAGTTATTATAAATATGCGAGCATTAAATCTAAACTTCTTTAGAAAATGGTATATGCATATATTGTATTGTAGATTTTTAAAAGGGTTTTCCCTTTTCCTTATCATGGACTATCATTGGTCATTGATCAGTTAAATATAAATATTTTAAGTTAATGTTTTTGACAAAAAAAAATCTACTTTGAATTTGTTGATATGTTTAGCAAATCCATATAAAACTATTTGGAAAGTGCACCTACCCATCTTTGAGGTAACTGAATAATATCTGCTTGGCAGTCTCTTCATTTGTTTGTTGTGAAAGCTCTTCTTGACCTTTCAGAAGATCAGGTGTCACCTGAGCAAAAAGATAAATAAAAAAAAGAAAAGAAATACATGTCATGATATGTACAGTATCCATGCATAAAACTATTTACTGGTAACCCCCATACCCCATACCATAATGGTGGTAAATATTTCAGAATAGCAAAGAGGAAGACTATGCGTTCTTACCTGAGCATCCACTTCGGTTCTTGATGTTTTACCATTGACAGCGGGACGAGAGATTGATCCCGTTTTCACACTTGACAGGCACTTCACACTCTGTGATGGTTTGGCCTCTTCATTTTTATTCTCTACAGGTGCTACAGAGGGACGACTCAGGGGATTCTTGTACCTTAAAATAGCAGCTGAAGAGTTGGAGACTGTGCCCTGAGGAGAGCCTGGAGCACTTTTAACTTGTGTCATGTTTCTTAGGTTTATCCTGGGTCCAACAGTGGAAGTTGGTGACATGGGGGAAGTCTTCACTCCAGCGGCCTTCTGCAGGAGCAGTGATGGACGAAGGAGATGCTCTGTAGACCTGCCTCGATTCCGGCTAACTTCATCCAAGTAGTCAGAGTCACCCCCAAGGCTGAATGGCAAGGCGCTATCGACACTACGGGATCGCTTGCGGTCTTCTGGGTTAAGTCGATTCCTCCGCCCTGACCGACCCCTGCGTTGTTGAGTCTCTTTACTGTCAAACTTCTTGATGAGCTCATCCACACCTGGGATGGAACCAGTATCAATGTCACGCCCTGTGCCAGGCAGGAAAGGGAGGTAGCGCCGGTTCTCATGACGGTTGATAGTCTCTGCATAAAGCTGGTCCAACTGGTCTTCCTTGGTTGGTGTGGTGGAGCCTATTGAGGAATTTCGGGAGGAGGAAGACTGTAGCACAGGGCCACTGGAGTCAATACGGCGCAAGGGCAACACGTCTGGTTCACGTCGACTTCGTTCCAAAGTGGAGTTTGCACTACTCACTGAACTGGAAGGTCTAGAAGAGGCCTTGGTTTGGTCACTGGGGTTGCTGGCTATTGTAGATGGCTGAGGAACTGGAAGGCGTTGTGAAGGCTGAGTCCGAGTCTGGTAGGGCACTGGAGTCTTAAATGGCGGCTTAACCTGAGGTTGTGCTTGAACAGGGGGTTTGACCTGAGGCTGTGCCAGAACACGGTCTTTGGTTGGACCTGTTTGAGGTTGTACATTGAATGAAAGTGTATGGGGATGAACCTGAGGTTGGGTGTGTCCCCTGTCCCCTGGTAAAGATGCTTCTGGAACTTGGCTGGAGGATCTGGCTTGGCTCACAACTGGGGAGTTGGCTCTGGGTAGGGATCCTGGGTAGGGATTTTGATTCTCAACTGAAGGCAGACTTTGAAAGCTATCAAGAGTATTGCTCTCAGGATCATATGGCTTGAGAATCTCTGGATGCTTTTGGAAGTTTAAAAGACTGGACTGCTTCTTAGGATCAGAAGTCCCATTGTGAGGACCTCCATGGAGCTTTGGAGACATAAAGTCCATATATGGACCTTCAGAAAGATTCTTCCTGGTTCCTTTGAAATCATATTCATCATAATTGAATGGGCTTTCAGAATCCATATGTCCATTATTGTTTTGTGGCACTGCATATGGGTTCGGAACTCTATCCTGGTTATTGAGGACCACATAGGGGTGTCCATCTATTCCTTGAACTCTGATACTGAGTCCATAAGTACCATTGCTCTGTCCCCTTGAGTGGGAAGGCTGCATATAGCCTTGCGGTATTCCAGTGTTTGGAATGCCGCTAACTCTATAAGACTCCATCAGGAACACTGAACGAAACAACCAAATTCCTCTCTGTGGAGGCAAACAAAGCCATAATCTCATTATTACACAAGTAGTTTGTGATGCTTACAGTATCTTTGCATGTCTAAAAGTCCACAATAAGATGGTCTGACAGCATTTGATTATGCCATATAGTTTATCTTTTTCAGACTCAGAATAAGATAATTGTGCAAAATTTATGTAGCAAAGTTTTTTAGACCCAAAACCAAAGTCAAAGTAAAGCTTTTAGTATGATCCTCGACCACAAACAAAGGTTGTTTGGAAAAAACAGGACCTTGCAAGCCTTTTAAACATATCCATTGCTCAGGGTTTGGAATTTATTCTGAGACAAACATTGACACAGGCACATGCCATAGTCTTTGTAGTTATTCCAAGGAACTTAAGTTAGATGACGCCTTACAGTATCTAATGTCATTACAAAGTGCAACGATGACCACTAACTTCATAAAAGCATGCCAAGCATGCAGAAAATTAAATAACTGCAAATTAAGTCACTTTCAGCCGGGTCTCAGACTTTATAATCTCAAGCACATTGACATTGCTGATTAAAGCTAACAGAGTATTAACAAAATATATATAACAGTATATAACAAATATTGGCAAAAAAAAAAAAGTTAATGATGTCACTGTACAGTATGGGGGCTGCTTTAGAAAGATAGGCGAAGGAAAAAAACAGAGGACGTTCAGATTTAGTATTCAATTGTCTTGAAACAATTTGTGACTAAATTGTTTATCAACCGCTTATATCTTTTATGGAAATAAAACGAAGTGCAGCAATGAAGACATTTTCGTGTAATTTGGTTCTTAGAGTACAACATTCAAAATGCTGCTAATTTTGACTGCAAACAATCAAAAACACCCAGTTGCACTCCTACTGTGCTCGTCAGTGTCATCACGTCCAAAGAATTTCAGTGACATACGCAATGAGCAACAGTATTGTGCCACAGGAATGGCAAGACACAAAGCTGCAAAAATATCGCCCTATTACAGACATCACATCACCAGGCAACAGGCTATTATCAGTTTCTTCTGGACCCCACTGATAACATCCTTTCACCTCAAAAACAACAAAAGGCTGCATGAGTCATATCGATTTCTTTGTTGCAACAGCAATGGTATGACCAAAGCATGCAGTGTATTACGGTGCATGCAACCTGTGAGATCCCTGAGGGCTTGACAATGAAGAAAACAAAGATGGCATTGGTTCATTTTCAATAGGCAAGTAAAAAATCTGTTCAGTGAAGAATGAAGGTGACACTAGAGCTAAAAAAAACACTACATGAACACATCATAATAAAGAAGCAAGCCAAAAAGTACAATTCTCCTTATCCGCAAACACACCTAAGACAGAAGAAGACACTCAAACTTTCCATCCCCATAGAAGGGGATGATAAAGAACAATAAGGGCAAGTTAAAAAGCGGCAAGCCCCTTATCCACAAGGAACAGAGCTCTGGTGCAGAAAAAAGGATATGGCACAATAGCCTCTTTCAGCTCCTGTATCACATGTACTATGTGCAAAGGGACTCAATGGTGTTAATGTAGCTCTTTTCCTCTCATTGTGCCCACTGGAAATGTGTAGCTCTGACAGGGAAGCTAACTCAGGCTGGGCAAACTGGCCTCCACCTGCATTCCTCTTCCAGGGAAACTCAAAACAGAGTTTTCTGGTGAAACTGTCTTAAGTTGAACTCTCATTACCAACTCCTAAACTTTGGCCTTTTCTATGCACTATGCAGCTAAATCATGCACGCGGTTGAGCCAAGTTTTATTTATTTATTTTTAATTGCTTTCTGCAAACTAATGAATGTTTTGCGTAATTAATACCAAACAATCATCCTAACAGATGCTCCAAGCACTGCATGTGCAGTTTAATAATATAGATTTTTCATACAAGAAAATTACCTGTTTGGGTGTTCATTAAAGTTTATGAATTTTAATTTCAATGTTTTAAGAACATTTATCTCAACTCCTACCATGCTGCCCAAATGCCTCTAGGATAACAGTGATTCGCACAATTTTTAGTAAAAAAAACAAAAGCAGCACTTACCGCTGTTAGTCGTTTATCCAAAAAATATGCGTTTATTTGTCGATCAAGCTCTGTAAACAGCTGTGACACAGAGCGAAAACTCCATCTCCTCTCAGTTGGTCAAAGTCACTTGTTGCACGTCTTGTTTTCAGACTAGTTTTACTTCACGCGCACGGGCTATTGTAGAGCGTAAAGCCCCGCCCACACCCCATCCCTCACTCCACCCACCCGCTGCAGCCTGATTCACGATCAGCTGATCTGCGCGACACGACTGCCGATCAGAGCCCATTTCGCATTTCACCTGATCTCAAGACACAATGCGCAGAAACTGGTGTAGGCCATCCAAGCCCTTGTGCTTCCAGTATCGGTGAAATCAAGGGTTTTCAGGTGATAATGAATTATTAGGAGAGGATAGAGAAAGTATATGAGCCATTTTCAAGATGGGAACAAACATGTCCCTTTTCACTATTGAAAACAACAACACTGAAGAAACCCCATTTAAAAATCTAACATTTTATTAAATATCATAAAGCGAATCGTTTAACGAATAATATTATATTCGTGCTCAAATCCACGCAACAGCTTTCACAGCATTCATATTGGATTGTTATTTTTTTGTTGTACAGCAACGTTTTGTTATATTTGGTCATTTTTTTTTAGGTAGCAGAAGGACTTTACAGTGTAATAGGCAAAAAAATGGGTTTAATCTATTTTGTTTTGAAAATTTTTTAACTACAGGAATTTGCCAAGTGCCTGAAAAATCCCCTGTTCCCGTTATCTGGTACTACTTATATGAAATTTACATTTGTTTATTGATAAGAGTTAAGCATTAGAGCAAGGCCTAAAAAGTGTGTAGCCTATCTATATAAGTAGTAGTAGCCTAGTAGTAGTAGTAGTAGTAATGTAGTAATAATAATTATTATTATTTAAAAATAAAAATACAAAAAAGTTGTAGGAAAGTATTTCTGAGGTCAAAATTCAGAGAAAGAAGAGACTTGTTAAAATGTGTTTTTTCATACCTTTCATTTTTTTTAAATAGTTGCTCCCCAACTTGCTTAATTTCAACGTGTCATTGGTATTACATTGTTTAATATTGGTGTGGAAGATTTTTTTTTTAATTCAGTGGTATAGGTTAATCTTCCTCATCACTCATCACCATCATCATACAATCAATGTCTTGACTCTTGAGAATATGTCTGGTGCTACTAAAAAAATAAAAATAAATCAATAAAGAAAACTCAAGGTGTTCTTGAAAGAAGAGACTTGTTAAAATGTGTTTTTTCATACCTTTCATTTTTTTTAAATAGTTGCTCCCCAACTTGCTTAATTTCAACGTGTCATTGGTATTACATTGTTTAATATTGGTGTGGAAGATTTTTTTTTTAATTCAGTGGTATAGGTTAATCTTCCTCATCACTCATCACCATCATCATACAATCAATGTCTTGACTCTTGAGAATATGTCTGGTGCTACTAAAAAAATAAAAATAAATCAATAAAGAAAACTCAAGGTGTTCTTTATGATTAGTAATAATGTCAAGAAAAACACTTAGCCTACATATATTTACCATCTGCTTTTATAAGGAAAAAACGTAATTACATTTTGCAGTGCTAGAGCGAATATCGTGATGAAAAATTGATGTAATAAAAATGTCAGATTACTAAGAGCATTATGAATACGCAATACCGTATAGGCCTACTGCTACTAATTTTCCTCCCTTGTGTATCTGGCCTACACGAACTGTTTCTTTTATTTTATTTTTTATTTTTTTTTTTTTAATTAAGAACATTATATAGACAAAAATAAAAGCAGTCACAATGTAGAACAAAAGAAATAATAAAAAAAAAACAACAACAAGAAAAATAAAACTACAGGGTACAAGACAGGGGTATATAACTAATCACAAAAGATCACATCAAAGGAAAAGATTAAAAGAATTACAAATTTCAATTGTTTTTAAAGCCTTCTTGTTACACGAGTTAAAGATAGTCCCAAAGTAATGCTGCAATTCAGCAAGCAAAACATAAAAAAGTGGTTTTTGACCTGATAATGTACATTTATGTATATCAAATTTGGTTAATAAAATAAGAAGATTAAGTAAGTATATTTTGTTTTTCAGTAAATGTTCTTTTTTCCCATTAGCAATTCCAAACAAAACATTTCCCCAAAGTAAAGAAAAATCCTTATCAATGTTCTCAGTAACAAACAGGGAAGAGTCTTTCCTCAATAATTTAGCATAATGGCAAAGCCAAAATAAATGCACAATAGTCTCTGGGTGCTGTTTGCAAAAAGAACAATTTGTATCAATATCTTTTTTGAATTTCTTTAAGAAGGTATTAACAGGATATACACGATGGACAATACGGAAGGAAACTTCTCTTATCTTTTTAGTAATTAAGTAACTATTTGGAATCAGCCAAATACAAAGGCATTCCAATAAACTGTCACATTTGGAATTGAAACATTTTCCTTGAGAAATAATAAACGTATTGACCTATTAGAAGAAGTGGATGAAAAGCAATATTTCCCCACCATTGTAACAGTAGGGTCTAAAGAAGGTCAAATAGAAGGGTGGGGGATACGTTGAAAAAGTCTAATAACTCCAGATGGTATGGCATCGAATACAATAGCAAATTCTTTAGGGGTAATAGGAATGTTAAAATGATTAAGAAATTCCTCACAGTTTAATAAAAGGCTATTTGCATTAAATAATTGACTTACAAGCAAAATATCTGCCTCAAACCAGCGCTGGAAGAAAAGAGATCTGTTTTTATATAGAATATCTCTGTTATTCCATATAAAATATTTATGAGGAGAAAAGTTGTGCTTGTATAGAAGAGACCAGGTGAGAAAGACCTGCTTATGGAATTTAGATAATTTAGCTGGTATTTTTTCAACATTATAATTACAAAGCAATACAAAATTAAATCCACCAAATTTGGAGAAAATATATTGTGGAATAAAGTTCCAGACTGAGGTTGGATTTTTGAGAAAGTGTTTGGCCCGCCTACACGAACTGTTCCCAGCAATACACACTGACTAAATGACGCCCTGACAGCTCTTTAGACTGACAGCGCCATCTAGTGATTGAGCACTGCAGACAGCAGATTTACATAATGCAAATGACAGCCTTATAAACACACTTTAACACCGCAGTGTCTTCACACTGCTAGAAAACTAATAGAAACACTATAATAGGATGGAGCCAGTAATGTTAATAGAACAACAACTACAATCAACCTACATGATATAAAAACAATACAACTGAATAAACTTCAACAAAACATAACTGATGATTAAGACAAAACTGTTGTTCAGACAATGAATATCGGCTACTAGTGAGCAGGAAGATGCACTGGCTGTTTTCTGAGGGTGTGCAGTTAACAAATCTCATCAGATCTGGCCGTGACAGACACTGTCCTCCCCCAATAAAACTTGTTTCTGACAGTTCTATTATTCCTCCAAATGTATCAGAGTGAAGAAGAAAACCTGTTTCAACCTCCTTAATATAATATGAGGAGATAAATGGGTCACCAACTAGAGGAGCACTACAGGGTGATAACTTCACAAGCAATCATTTATCAACCATGTTTGCTTTGTTTTAATGTGCATAAATTTGGTGTCCTTAAAGGGACAGTTCACCCCAAAATGCAACTTCTCTCATCACTTAGGCCTACTCATCCTCATGTCATTTCCAAACCTGTTAGTAAGTTAGTTAGTAACAGAACTCATTTGTCCTGTAAACGTAACTGTCCTTAAGCCAAGAACTAAGAGCACAAATGACTTGTGAGTATCTAGTGTAAGTACTGATGACTCCACCCTTTGTCGTGGGTCTGCTGTGTTTTCATTTCTCTGTGTGGGTGCAATCGGTCTTGTAGCTGAGAGGACTGTGGAGTTTCAGTAATTAAGTAACTATTTGGAATCAGCCAAATACAAAGGCATTCCAATAAACTGTCACATTTGGAATTGAAACATTTTCCTTGAGAAATAATAAACGTATTGATCTATTAGAAGAAGTGGATGAAAAGCAATATTTCCCCACCATTGTAACAGTAGGGTCTAAAGAAGGTCAAATAGAAGGGTGGGGGATACGTTGAAAAAGTCTAATAACTCCAGATGGTATGGCATCGAATACAATAGCAAATTCTTTAGGGGTAATAGGAATGTTAAAATGATTAAGAAATTCCTCACAGTTTAATAAAAGGCTATTTGCATTAAATAATTGACTTACAAGCAAAATATCTGCCTCAAACCAGCGCTGGAAGAAAAGAGATCTGTTTTTATATAGAATATCTCTGTTATTCCATATAAAATATTTATGAGGAGAAAAGTTGTGCTTGTATAGAAGAGACCAGGCGAGAAGGACCTGCTTATGGAATTTAGATAATTTAGCTGGGATTTTTTCAACATTATAATTACAAAGCAATACAAAATTAAATCCACCAAATTTGGAGAAAATATATTGTGGAATAAAGTTCCAGACTGAGGTTGGATTTTTGAGAAAGTGTTTGGCCCGCCTACACGAACTGTTCCCAGCAATACACACTGACTAAATGACGCCCTGACAGCTCTTTAGACTGACAGCGCCATCTAGTGATTGAGCACTGCAGACAGCAGATTTACATAATGCAAATGACAGCCTTATAAACACACTTTAACACCGCAGTGTCTTCACACTGCTAGAAAACTAATAGAAACACTATAATAGGATGGAGCCAGTAATGTTAATAGAACAACAACTACAATCAACCTACATGATATAAAAACAATACAACTGAATAAACTTCAACAAAACATAACTGATGATTAAGACAAAACTGTTGTTCAGACAATGAATATCGGCTACTAGTGAGCAGGAAGATGCACTGGCTGTTTTCTGAGGGTGTGCAGTTAACAAATCTCATCAGATCTGGCCGTGACAGACACTGTCCTCCCCCAATAAAACTTGTTTCTGACAGTTCTATTATTCCTCCAAATGTATCAGAGTGAAGAAGAAAACCTGTTTCAACCTCCTTAATATAATATGAGGAGATAAATGGGTCACCAACTAGAGGAGCACTACAGGGTGATAACTTCACAAGCAATCATTTATCAACCATGTTTGCTTTGTTTTAATGTGCATAAATTTGGTGTCCTTAAAG